CTGTATATATATATAATTGTGTAATTATGATATAAATCCTGCTGGAAATTTTTAATGCTAAATCAAATTAAAATTCTAAATTATAATTAGATTGAAAAGAATGGATTAAGTTTTATGAGATTCGTGTGAACTCTGCATCTGTGCATCAAATCTTTAAGAGCCAGCAGAGGTTTTATTGTTTTTATTGATTTAAATCACATCAGAACCTGCATCTCGGTCTGGATCCACAGCTGCTGGACACTCTGTCCTCTGGAGACGACCGTCCAACAGCTCACTTCTTTTCTCTCAGTCCTTAAAGTCACTTTGAGCTCCGTGGTCATAAAGCGTCGTAGTCGTCGTCGTCTTCGTGCTTCCTCTTCAGCGAGTCGCCGCTGGCGCTCTGCGACACCATGTTGGTGGTGATGAGGATGTTCTTGGAGCCGATCAAAGACGGGTTGATGAGGACGTTGGAGACGGCGGGGGTGGACGGCGTCGCTGTCGGGACAAACAGGAAGTGAGTTGTTTGTGAAGATGGAAATGTTTGACTCAGGTGATGGGGGGACAGGGGTTCTTACTGGTCTTGGTCGTCTGAGAGGGCGGGGGGATCTGAACGGTGAACCTCTGACCCGTCAGAGACACAGGAGCTCCAACCTTTGTGCTGACCGACTGGACAGATGGAGTTCCTGTGGACCAAACACAACAAACGGGTCAGGATTTAGCTCCTGTCTGGGGTCTGCAGCCCCTACAACAGGAACTCACCCAGCGTGGGCGTGGTGGGCCGGCTGGAGACGGCGCCGACGCTGAGGCGAGGCACCGTTATCCTGCCGGCAGATGGCGTCACCTGCAGGAAGGAACAGAGTTTAAGAGGCGATGAAGACGAGCTACTGTCTGAGGATGAAGACCTTCACCTTCTTCTGGATGGACTTCAGTCGGTAGTTCGGTGCCGTCAGACAGTAGCGGTCCGGAGGAAGGCGAGGTCCGGTGTACGGTTTGATGAGCGGGAGCGGAGTCTGGTTCTTCTGTCTCGCAACCTCCAGCAGGAACTGAACCCAGAAAAGCAGAGACAGTTACAGATCACTGACCAACAATCACTGACCAACAATCATTGACCAACAATCACTGACCAACAATCACTGACCAACAATCACTGACCAACAATCACTGACCAACAATCATTGACCAACATTCACTGACCAACAATCATTGACCAACAATCACTGACCAACCATCATTGATCAACAATCATTGACCAACAATCACTGACCAACCATCATTGATCAACAATCATTGACCAACAATCACTGACCAACCATCATTGATCAACAATCATTGACCAACAATCACTGACCAACCATCATTGATCAACAATCATTGACCAACAATCACTGACCAACCATCATTGATCAACAATCATTGACCAACAATCACTGACCAACCATCATTGATCAACAATCATTGACCAACAATCACTGACCAACCATCATTGATCAACAATCATTGACCAACAATCAC